GGTTAAACAAGGAGAGCCAAGTTATGTGTTGGGGCTGATGTTGCAGAGATGAAGGTAATTCTCTTCCAAAACTTTCATGCAACACAGAACATCTGAGTCACCTGCAAGTTTAAAATGTCACATACTGGAAAACTTAGATTTGTATTGAAAACAAAAGATTTCCCGTGACTTTTCAGAATTATTTGCTGTAATAAACATTTCAGCGTGAAAGAACAATTAGGTAACCTTCCTTCCAGTTATTTTACACTGCTAAGTACTCAGCTGAATTAAAGAATTGCTTCAGGGAAACAGAAGAGTTGTCTAGAAAAAAAACTTGGTTTTGATAATAGAAAAATCATAGAAATAATACCTGTGTGCAAGAACACCTCCTTAACCTCAGCACAACCAAGGGTCTTTGTCACCACTTTTACTTCTGTTTGCAATGATGATTTAATACAGTTGCAAGAAAGAGAAAGAGTTTGCACATCTTCAGCAGAATCATCAGCAAAGTTTCCTGCTGTCAAAATATACGCAACTGGTACAATTGCAGAAACAGAAAGGACTGTAGTTGGTGATGACACGGAAAGGAAGCATCTTATTCCCCTAAAATAAGTGGGTTTTGATCTGGAAGTGCAGGATTAAGTTCCGTGACATTAGAATAATGAGTGGCTTCTCTTACTTATTGTTTGTACTATAGGATTGCTGCTAGACACCCTACCGTGGGGATCTCTGTGACATAAGAGCCGCTTTTCAGAGTGCAAACATTGCTAACGCACATGGTATTTGTAGCATTATGTAACATTTTAAAAGCTGTTGAGTGACATACCAAAATACCAATTATAAATACGCCTAAATAACCTTTTTTTAGCCAGCTTTGACAAACTTAAGTTCACTGTCTAAAGGTGGTGTAATTATACAAGATTCTGTACCCCAGGAAATTCATTGCTGATGACAAACAAGGTAGCTGTTAGCAGCGACTGCTATTTAATTTTCTACCTTAAACAAAACTCACTGTAAGCAATTTCATCCTATACAAAGGAGGCTCTTTTCACAAAAACTTACAACATGGAATTTATCTTTGTTTACAATTTCCAAGTAATAATTTTGTATTAACACTTATTTAAGGAGTAAATGATCAAAAGCTACATTTGCTTCCATGTACTAACATCATGTAATGAGGATTCTAATGCACGTTTAGAATAAGGGATGTGTATTACTGTACAGTATTCTAATTAGCATTCACTGGAACGTAGGGCCACAAAAAAAAGATATGGAAAAGTTGTTTAAATTTTAATCTTCTAGACTGAGCAAATCCATGGAATGTCATACTTAAAGAGTTTTCAGGCAAGACTAAACTCTGCAACAAAGCAGGAGTGATAAGTTACATAATGAAGTGGTCGGAAAATGAAAACAGGACAAAAATATTTTGATGAGCAAAATATAAGTACCCTTCCTTCTCCCTACCTGGACTATTTGCAGCGTGGGATGTCATGCATTCGATGCATGCTCATGCACCGCATTCTCTATGCACACACAAACATTTGCTTCAGCGGGAGTTTTGCAAGAGGTTCCCCATCACCAGCTGGAGACTAATCTTTGGGATGGGAATGCATACACTACCCACTTGGCTTCAGGTGCTAAATGGAAGCCTGCGCTCTATTTCAGCAAGGAAGCATACACTGCTCTGGACTCAGGAGATGATTATGCTGTATCGCTTTTCTGGAAAATAGTTGTGCCCTTTTCAAATTTTCATTGCAATTTTCTACTTTATGGGTAGATTGTGGGGTTTTGAATATTTATTCTAAATTACAAACAGCACAATTAAGCGTTGCAGGTTGGGGGTTTACCATTGACCAAGGTAAATGCAAGAAATGGGCAGGAGTTCACAAATAATCTGCAAATATAAACTGAGTTACGTTAAAACTGCATCACTCCATTTGTTTTAGAGAAATCACGTAAGAAGTGAAGTGCTAAATTTTCTCAGCTTGATGGAACCTTACGAAGTGAATACAATAGAGTTCAAGACAGTGACCAAAAGCTCAGCGTAGCCAAAACCACATGTAATTTGCATTTCATTATGGACTGCACATTTTAGGGTTTCTGCCCCAATTCTTGTTCCAGAGTGTAATTAGAGAAGTTGTGCTATGCCTCGGGGAATAATTCAAGGCTTGATATTGAAAGAAATACTTATTCCTCCAGCAGAATAGGTCTAAGAGTAAGATAGCCCAATTACTAGCAGGATTGCCCAGACAGGTGGTAAGGGCAGCTGCTCCGTATGCCATCGGATCCACCTATACAGCAGGGCACTTCCAGGTTCCTAGAGTTTAGAGTTTCTCACTGACCCCTCAGAGCTTGAAATCGGGTGCTTTTGATAAGCAGAGAGAGGGGCTCACACAGGCTATGGCTGTATTATCAAGTCATGCAGCGCAGGCAGCTGGTTCAGAGAACCTGACAATGGGCATCTCAGGAGGGATTATTTAGGAGTATCTCCATCATGCTCCGCTGGACTGACCATCCATTAATTGTCAGCACGTTTGCTGGGATTCTGCAGCTCGCCTTCCACTTTAGTTTCATCTGAAAAGAATTCTGTTTACGTGCTCTGAGACCATGCTGCAGGGCAGACCACAGCATATTAAGCAGGGATGACCAAGAGATTTTATCTGAACTGTATAATCAGTGACTTTCTCAAGGCTTGTCTCAAATCTGTTCAGCATCGTGGGCAGAGCCATCTCACCCCCAGCTGAAGGCTTGGGTTTTGCCTGATGAGTGATTTCACTTTCTAGACATCCTGTAATTAATCTTACAGTTTGTACATTTTTCCAGTTTGGAAAATAATATTGCAAGGCTCAAGCTAGTTTAAGCTCTTAATAGTATGTGGTCTGTGATGTTCTCCAGAAAAAGTAGAAACAGGTGATTTGGAGGGACAGAATTTCACCTGGCTAACTTCCAGAGGTGCCAGGTTGGTCACAGATTTAGGTATGGTCAGTTAACGTTGACTTCCAGACAGAGCCCGCGGGCGGTAGAAAGGTTTGTCCTTGCCTTGGCGCTGGCGCAGGTGCTCCCCCCAGGCTGTGAACCCCACCACAGCAACACGAAATGGCTTGCAGCAAAGATCTGGATCAACTGTGCTGTAGGCCATGAACTCTCGTCTCACTTTCGCTTTGTAACAGGATTAAGACAGAGCAACAGAAGGGTAGAAGAAAGCTGTCACTTCTCTCGCATACATGGTGTCTGTTTTTCAAGGATTCCTGCCCTCTGACTTACCAGGGCACCTCCTTCATTAGCTCCAATTTAAGTTAAGGGTTTAATATTTATCTGTTCTTAAAGATAAACTACTTGCTAGCTGACAGAGCCTAAAAGCAACAGCAATAAATAACAGCAGAAAAGTCAGTTTCTTCCCAGCAAACGCTTCGTACTGCTGCTAACTACCACAGTCTGAACACAAACCGAGGTCTCCAAGCCCTGGGAAAGCTGCAGTGCAATCCACGTGAGGCTCTTCTCTGCTCTAAGCTAACGGTGAAACTAGAAAGAGTAAGAATTGAGAAACTGCCTGATTATCAACAAGAATTTTGTAGCTTCGTTTTCTACTAAAATAGAATACACTAGACAGTAGGCTCTGGGTTTGCATTTCCTTCTAGTGCTGTGCAGCAGGACAGTAAATAATGGCATTTGTGGTCTAATCTGCGCTTTCATACATTTTCTTCACTTGCTTAATTGTATTAATGGAAAGAGGAGGATGATCTTGTGGCGAGGACAGAGTACTGGAAGTCAGGTGATCTGGGTTATATTCAGAGTTCTGCCACGGGCTTCCTGTGCCCTCTGCTGTAATCAGGTTTGCTAATATAGAAAATGAAGATAATGACATTTCCCCTTCTTGCCAGGGTGTTGTGACACTTAATTCATTAATGTTTGTAAAGTGCTTTGTGCTCCTTGCTTCTAAATGTGCTCCTTACTGTAATAATGTCTGATGGCTGGTATTAAATTTGAGAATAATGTTACTTTAGTGCCTGTGCACTTCAGTTGGCTGAAGTGTAGTAAAGACCATTATTTTCATGTATTTTATGAGCTACTGGAATTTTTTAGACTACTTACTTGAAATTTAGCTAATATAGTTACAGTTATAAAATGTACTATGTCAGTGCTATGCCTGCTGCTTATTTTTTTCTGTCCTTTCACTATGATGAAATATTTAGCAATAAGCAAGACTGTCTTGTTCAGACTAAAAGGAGGAAGAAAGAGTTTGGCATAAATACTCTAGCTGCTTGACTTCCAGCTCTGCTACCGAGCCTGCTCTCTACCCTGGTAAATCACAGGGCAGAGCTCCATGTCCCAGCGCCAAATGCACAGAAAAATTGAGCAAGAAATTAAGTACAAAAATCTGTGGGCATGGAAATGGGAAGTTTTGGTATTTACCTAAATTGTAGCGGCACCACAGGATCAAGCAACTGTATAATTTATGTAGTACAGTTAAAAACAAAACAAAAAATAGTTAACTTCTAAAATCTGCAAAGGTTTGGCAATGAAACTCCCAATAAATTCACTACAAATCACACAGCTAAATTTCTACATCGCACAGGAAAATAACTCAGCTAAAATTCTCTGAACATGCATTACAGTATGTTTGTTAAAGCAAATGGAAGCTGTGCATAGAAGTGAAAGTAGAACAAACTGCTGAGTTTTTTAAAAACAAAAGCAAGAGTATTGCTAATATTAATTGTGCATATCTGGATTTTTCAGAATGTGGTAGTTCATTGAAATTTTGCTCCTACAGGAAATCAAATACTTATCAGACAAGTGTACTACATAAAGCTATCTGTTTGTAATAGCCATTGATAATTGTATCAGGTGAGGAAAGGAATGACAAACCCACCATAAATAGAAGCAATTCATTCAAGGCTGTGCAGTGTTTGTCAGGCAGTACCCACGCTGCTGGTACAGCACAACAAAAAGCATACGCGGCCCCTTACAAGCACTGTCCGACATTACATTAGTAGGAAGAAGGGAAAGCAGCGGGCACTTACTATCAATATAAAAGTTCCCAGGAATTCTGCGAGGGCTTCTTTAACCAAGCTGTTCTTCAAGGCAAATTTCTCCTTTAAGCTCCTTTTGCTTTTCCGGCTCATTTTGGCTTCCTCTGTTGCTCTGGTGCCCTAGTTACAAGTACACACAAAATTTGTTCTATGTTCGTCCCTGCTTCAGCTGAACTTTGACACTTTTACTTATACATTGAAATATGAGATTTCATCTCGTACAGCCAGTGAAATCATCTGACTGCAGGCATTGACAGAACCAGCTCGACATGCCCTAACAATTCATCATGAGTTTTCCATCCTGTGCCACCTCTGAGTGCACTTCTATTTATACTGGTTAGATAATGCCAGTAAGTTCACAATCCGAACTCTTCTTTTTTCTTTCAGAATGGATTAATCATTACCTTTCCTGCTATCTTACTTTTTTTTTTTTTCTGGTAAAAATGAATAAAATGTTTTTCCTGTCACCCTGATCAAAAAGAAAGGCAAAAAGAGAAGATCATAAAGTAAGGAACCAAAATAAGGTTGAAAATTTCTTTCTGACCTAGATTGGGATTTAAACCATGGCTGTCCAAAAAACTTTTCAAGGGGAGGTTGTAAAAGAGAGTGAATGCTTGTGAAGAATGCTGTGCTCTACGCTGTAAACAAAAGTTCCTGCCTTGTCACTTCTTGGGGATTTCAGTGGCTAACGAGGAGTCTTACCTTGGTGCAGTATGTTGAATTTGTATATTCATGCACAATACTCCTTTTGGGCTAAATGCCTTGCTCTCTAGTGACCCACCCTGTTTCCAAAAGAGAAACGAGGCAGAATAAATTAGGAACATTTAATGAAATCTGCTTCAGTCCAGTGACCCCCTATAATGCAGTACAGGCGAGCGAGGCACCGGGTGACTGTATGTCTCCAATATGTTGAAAGTGCATAGGTGCAACAATAGGAAGCATTATAATATTGATTTCCATGGTCTTAAGACATGAAGTTGCTGAATATCTCAAAGCATTTGGCCTCCTAGAGAAAAATATTACACTCCTTAATCTCTTAAGTGTCTTGAATGTTTTTCTCAGATGTGATACTGACTTGAATAACACACTGCCTGGTTCATTTACAGTATTTTCTGTCGTTTCACTTGACACCAGAACCTTAGCCCCATTCTGGTAGATTATTTTGGCCTGTGTTGTAGAAGCTCGGTGCCTTGGTTTGTAGCTGTCCTAAACCTTTTTCATCTTGGTAAATGTGTTCAGGTCTGCCAGACATGTCGTTGTGAATAAGACGGAGCTTTCCAGGACTGGGCAAACAGGCCACTTCTATTATCCCATCAGGGCTCTTCCTTGCCTCAAGCTAGGACCTGGTGCTGTAGCCACAGTCACCTTACAACCACCAGTTTCACCCCTTAACCACCCAGTTCACCCCCACCACCCAATTTTAATCCTTAACCGCCTTCCCGTGTCCCTTTACTCATCTTTATCTACCTCTGTGTTCAAATACCAGGCTGCAGTTAGCTGGTTTAGAAAGTGCTGGCCCGTGGAAAGCCACAGGGCTGATGAGTTATGAGTTGGCTGTATCTGTCCTGGTCCTGCATGCGCCGGGGCGAGCTCCTGCGTGGCAGCAGGCACGCTCCCTTGGAGGGGTGTCCAGGACCCACCCGTCGGGCAGGTCCGAACTCACACCGACAGCTGGGACCTGCCCTGCAGAGCCCCTGGGAACAGGGGCCTGGGTACGGCAGCTGGAAAACCTTTGCCCTACACCACTGCCAAACTTTAATTATCACGGCACGCTAAAGTGTATGTTTATTATGTCTGTGAGAGAAGTCTTTCCGAATGATGGATACAGTAGAACGGAGGGAGGATGCTGGGGCGGCCATTCATTACAGCAAACACTTCCTCTCTTCCAGGAAAATGAGAAATAAATAATTACATTTATGAAAGCAATTTTTAGTTGTTTGTCCGTAGCAGTTCTTTCCCTTAAGCAGACGCAGGTGTCCCTCACAAAGCAGTATGCAGATACCTCTCAGCTTAGCCTCCCGACAGGCGCAAAGGCATTAACGCTATTTGTGAACTAACAATAGGGCAATAACGTGCCACAGACAGAAACCTCTCTACTCATTTGCCCAGATCATGTTGCCTTCCTTATAACAGTTTTCTGTCTTTACAGGCTGGAGAACTGATACAAATGTGTACATAGTATTATGAGAAAGACAAATAAAATGGAAATACCATTAAATCTTTAATTACTAACCTATGTTACCCATGCTCCATGTTACTGCCTTTTAGTCACACGCAATGGACCACTTGGCTGAAAAACTGAAAGTACACTGTGATTGCTGTTTTCTACTGATCTTCCTCACCAGGGCCCTGCTCCCAGAGTCATAACGGTAAGGATACTGGGATACTGGCAGTGCCACCCATAAATATCAACAGCTGTGGCATCTGAGGGAAGAAAATGCAGACATCCTTCAAAAATGCAAGTTGTATATAAGCAAGGAGCATAGAAAGAGCACAAACTGTGTCATATTAAATGTAGAACCACAACAGAGCTGTCCAAAAAGATTTTAAGATTTTTCCAAGAATGTGGAAGTAATAATATAAACTTTTTCAAATCCTGTCACCAAAGGAGTCCTGCAAGAGAGTAAGTAAAGCTACAGAGGATGAAAGTGTAGAAGGTGGCTAACTCTGCAGATAAAGAGCTAAAATAATTGTTTGCCTTGATAAAGAACCAAATGTTAGGTGGGCTGAGCATGAGGACCTGTCCTAAAATGAATTGTCAGTACGAAAGACTTCAAGAGAATTTGGTAAGTTAAGCAGTAACAAATTGCTGGAGCTGTGCAATGTTTCTGCCAAGGGATTCAAAAGTTCGGCCGCTGAAGTGCTACTGGGTTCGTTTTTGCTGAACCCAATCCTAATGCCAGCAAAATAAAACATAGGAAACATACCACGGATCATGGGTCTTTCAAAAGAGTCCTCCAAGGGAACTACAAAACTGTCACTGTGACTTCTATGCCAGGAAAATTAGATGAGCTGTTGTCAAGAATATAATCAATAGACACACAGGTAAAGCTGATACTCTGTAGAAGCATCAAATGAATTCTGCTAAGGGAGGTTATGCCTCACAAATCTATTGGCATTCTTTAAAGACATCAAAAGCACATTGATATTATTGTTCATGCTTGAACATGTGATCAGTGTAACCTTAGATTGCAAGAGTAAGACCCTTGGGACCCTTACCCCAGGGCAGTCTGGACAGAACTATTTCTTCTCTTCACCTGGATTCCAGCAGAGCAGGAGTTCACACAGTGTATATAACCTCACCATTTTTTATAGTCATCTTCACTCCTACAGAAATAACAAAGTAGAGAATAATACGCATAGCTCCCACAGTTTAAATCCCATGGGTATCCATATGTACTGTACTAAATTTTTAATAGCACATTATTCAGAGTATCACATAAATTGTCATTACTGATGTAATCAAGCCTAAACCAACACAGCTGGAGAGACCAAGGCTATAAATACACCATATATTTTTTTGTATTGTAATAATATGGGTCAAATTATTTTTTAAGTCTAAATCTGCTGATTTTAGTTGAATTAGACAAAGCCTGAATGTGTACATTTACTATAATTCATGTCCCTGGTCAAATGCCTTTGCCCAATTTATGTGTATGTTTTCTTACAGAAACTGCTGCGTGGTCCTTAAAAGACATTCTCCGTTTTGTGGATTGATCCTGCTGCTGGGGAGCTCGAAGGAAAAATTCAGGTGAGGGAGATACTGTAATCCAGCATTCTAAGCTTTTTGAGTACAAAAACCCCTGTTTCTTTAGTTCTTGTGTTTTCTGATCATCCCTCTGTCTCTGCTGTAGTCCCTGGTGGAAAAGTGCTCCTGGGGGCACGCCTCTGCAATGTGCGGCTCGGGTCCAGCCAAGCCCACCTCGGAGAGGGGCAGGGCACGTGAGGCAACCCCTTGGGAATTTCTTTGTTCTTCTCTGTTTCTGTGATCTCAGTGTCCAGATAAAACATTTCAGTCCAGATCATGAATACAAGATCAAAACCACACCACATGTGTGTGTTTCAAGATTTTTGCCCGTAGTCTCTAAGGCCCAATTCAACCCTTGTTGAAGTCCACTGCTGCCGACACCGATTACAGGGAGAATTAAATTAGACTTTCTCTAAAGTCTTTTTTTTTTTCTTTTTTTTTTTTCTTGATTGGCTGGGCACACCATTAGGGCCTCAGTGCATAACAGAGGATACTATGCATATATATGATATATAGTTATGTAATTGATGATAGTAAATTTTAAAATCTGTTGCACAGACACATCTGTGTACAACACACGCCCTGAGAGTTTCCAAGCCCGTTTAATCTCCGTGATAACCGCGCTGGCACAGTGGGGCACAGATAACATTCCACACCAAAGGGCTCTGTGACAGGACTGTCAGTGCTGGCCAAACGTGGAAGTGTCAGGGAAACGCTGCACAGACGGTTACGTGCACCAGCGTTATCGGCGGCGCTAGGCTGTGCTTCCTTCTGAAGGTGCTGGGTACCGCTCCGGGCTGAGCTTATCTGGCAGGTTACAGCATGGGCCGGGCTGACTTTCTGAATGCATCTGAAAAAAAAGACTGTTTCAGTACAAGAGGAATTTTGCTCTTAAGGACTAGATTGATTTAGTACAGACAAATGCTTTGTTGCAGCCAATTCCCTGCTCTTTTTCTTTTCCTGCATGTTCCCTTTTCTGGAACAGTTAATGTACACAAGAAGTAAATATAAGGGAAAATTATTGACAGAATGTTCTTTTCAAAATAACTCTTTCCTTTCCTAAATTCTTTATTAAAAGCCCTCAAAATGGAGATGAAAATTTTAAATTCAGCTTTGGTATTAAAACCAAAAGGCATGTTGGTAAACACATCTATGCAGCATGAAGAAAGCCCCAAAGTATCCCCAGTGGGTTTTGCAGTGATCTAAGCCCTTTGTTTTCTTCATCTGAATAGGATTCATTGTCAAAAACCTTTCCTCTCCCTCCAGGGCACAGGTTCCCTATAGCAATAGATGCCCTGAGACTCACCACGGCTGCCTGTAGGGCTGTGCAGAGCAGGAGATCTGAGCCTGCCCAGTTAATACAAGAGATTTAATGTGAAAGCCAGAGATAACGACAGAACTGACTCCACTGACACACAAAGGCCAAGT